GGTCGTGACGGAGGAGGCTGGCGAAAGCATAAAGTTGATCCAGACCACAGGTGTCAGTATGCTGGTACTATACTGGCCGATTTCATGGCCGACTTGGAAATATTGGTAACTGTCAAACCAATGTCCCTGCTGCAACTCAATGCACACACGCATCAGCTGCTCATGTCCGAAATTCCTCGCAACTCTCGCAAACTGACACGCGGCATTGCGCGCAGCCAGCGGGATACCTTCCGTCCATAGATTGAGGAAGCGGAGGCGACTCCCAGATGCCACCTGCAGCGCTGTAGTCATGGGCCTGGATGCATGATACCCTTGTTACAGAAACCTTGGACCTCTGCCACTTTGCAGTCTTCCTCCCCACTGAAACCCACCAGAAGTACACGGTGTATGGACATGCGGATATAAGCTGATCGTCACCTGATCATCCTCCGGTGCCAGTTGGTACAGGAGGGCGGTAGAGTAGAAGATCTGTGGTGATGGTGGTGAAATGCACACATGCACGTCAACATTTAGTCGTGTATGATGATGATGATGTGTGCGACGTCGGTGCGAACTCCGGATCACGCTGCTTCCGGGTTCGCTCAACGTCCTGTAGCGCCTTCCTTCTTCAGTAACCCGTGCGCCATCGCAACTTCCTCGCATCACTGCTGTAAACATGTTCCCTAATCTTCCCGATCTGCCTTGGCCTAGCTGGTGATTGTCACCTCGCCCAAGTCGAGCCTTGTCCGCGATACTCCCTCTCCTGCAACATCAAATCTTGGTCGTGACATAGCTTTGCATACACCCGCCCACTTTTATTTGGAAAGCCCCATACTGTACCATTGGCCGTGATACCCGACACACCCTCTGCGGCATTGACAACGGCCATGCGCATGCTATCACTCCAGATTTTACAGAATCATGGCCCACTCCGTCCGGTAACGTAGGCGCACCCAAATCACGATCTTCCTTGACAAATAATGCTTCTTTCAGGAACCCTACCTAGTTGCCCGCAGGAGCTGCACTAAGAACGACCGAAGAATGGCCGACGTTGGAGCCCGCAGATCGTTTCTGCCTGTTAGCCTCAATACGACATAGCGTGGGCTTGCCCTGCACGCCGTGCCGAATCCCAGTTGTCACCTGCATTCCTTGGACGTCTCTCGTCTGTTCTTTCCTTGCCTTCTCCGCCCATGACTTCGCCGCGTTAGCGGATCTGAGCGCTGCGTCGAACGGACATCATCATCTATCTAGACTTGCTCCACATTCCGCTCTTCTCACATCTTCCCGACTCTAAGTCAAGCGAGGCATCCGACGCGATTCTATGCGAGTATCGTATCCGATGGCCAGGCCACAGGATCGGTCCTTTTACTACCATGAACATGCAGCCATAAGACCCATGTCTGACGGCTTCTATCCGCTTCAAGCTGGCTCAGAAGCTTTTGACGACCCTCTCCATGTTCTCATACTTGGAACACGTCGCGCCCCTGTCGAGAATCGATAAAGCTTGTTGTCTGTTAGTTTACACATTCGCAAGATGAAACGGAGCCTAAGATTGGGATGCCCATTCGCTGGACAATAGCGCGATCTAGCCCCAGAATGCGGTTTTCTGGTTGAGCGCAAGGCACATGCATTCCAGTAGCCAGTAGCGGCCGGCGACCTGTCACCCATTGCCCGAACTGCAGTTCGTGCAGATTCAATTCCCAGTAAAGAACGCGAAAGCGAGCTGCGTCATGGAGCTTTGACTGTGCTGAGCTACGTCTTCCCTGCTCATGGCGATGCAATTAGAGCAGCAACTGTTTCGTACAAGCTTCAAGTATCGTTGACAGGGATGTACCAACCTTCACTCCCCATGACCTGGCTGATCCTCATGGGCCTCGATTTCCTGGAGTTCAAACAAGATGATCGTCCATGAGTACCATTCCAGATCAGGCCAACCTCGGGATAGTCCTACCTGGTGGTATCGCAGGGCACATCCACATCGATCTTGAGCATGCCAATGAAACATCTATCTGTCTCGCCGTGCTCGCCTGTATAAGGCCGTCTCCGATCGGACTGCCTTCCGTTGGAAGCTGTCCTCATGGAAAACCTGAAAGTGTGACAATAACCACGATGATGATGTCTTTAACCGAATAATCTCCTGGAGACTGACGATGAGATCGATCACGCTACTGCACGATACTGAGACTAGACCACGATTCTTCGTTAGGTAGGGAGCATGGACAACTGCTTCTTGAGATTTGCTTTCGCTTCCGTAGATCATATTGATCAGCATAGAAAGATCACAGTACGCTTGCAGTGCGTCCGTTACATCCTTCCCGCACAAGCGAATCTTCCGCTCCAAGAACATGATCGCGGCTTGCGCCATCACAGCGATCGTAAACCGGTCAGCGGCCGCTCCCAGCCATCGTCTACATGTCTGTTCTTTTTTTCGGGGTGATCTTGCAGTTCACTCTATTTTAACTTCAATTGTACTGTGAACACCTGTTGCTTGTCGTGTCGTCGAGTGATGTACTTCAAGTCATCTAAGATATAGTAGTACATAGGTTATCGGATCTTCTCGGTTATTCAGTCATGATTCCCTCTTCTCGGAACTATGCAAATGGTCAGACGCAACTTTATGTCGTATATTGATATGGTGGTCTAGATATTGCCGATCCAGCCTTTTGATGGTCGTCATTCGGGCCTTCTCTGCAGAGGGCTCCATCTCATAGCGACAAAGCACTGAGGGTTTCGTCTTCCTCCTTTCCACTTTAGTATGTTCATATTGATTCCGTCAACTTTTATGACGCTGCTACCATGGTCTCCTTTAGCGAGCAACCGGTCTGGTAGAGATGCTCGTGTAGCTTGATTTGACTGTCACGCGCTATGGACGCATACGCATCCTTGATGATTTCTGTCTCCAAGGGTGTTCTTCTCTCTCGCAAACCTTGGTCATGTACTCGATTTACAAAGTCCATACCCATACTCACTGTGTATCGGACGCTATCTTCTTGACATTGTATGCATTCCACATCAAAGATCGCATGTCTTGTGTGAAGGACCCAGCACCTCTAATATCTACGTAGTCTTATGGTCGAACCGGAAAGCAAGTATTTTCTATTCGTGTCGATAGTCTTACATTTTCCAAAAGATTCCTTAAGGTCATCGGTGTGGTCAAGTGGCTATGGTTAGACCCTGCGTACCGTTACAATATTCTCAACGTAAACAATAGCATCTTCCAACCACCTCCAGTTCCATAGCCTGTTTAGTTTCGAGTATTTTTTATGCCCTGCACGTTCATGCAGTTGAGCCAAAATGGAGATTGCAACGATGTCACCTGGTCGTTTACCTTCTTGGAAACCCAGTGAAGCGTCCTGTGACGATCTCTGATGCATCAGTCATAGAGTTTTTTTCTCGCTACCACTTGGTTCTACGTTGGTCCACGACGTACTTTTTGATTCCCTAGATCTCCGCACGAGACACTCCGCGTCTATCTGTGGGAAAGTGATTCTTACCAGACATTGACAACTCTATGACTGAACGTATCAAGGCCGCCGCAGTGGAGCAGATGCAGACCGGACACGTTGTATCGTTGTTCAAGAACCCCCATCCGATTGCCTTTTCCGAGTCGAAGGCAATCGTGAGTGTTCCAGGGTAATAACGAGGGTTGCGCATGATACTCACCATGGACTTTATCTCCCCTGCAGCACTTGCTGCATCATGAACCTTGACCATGATTACAGATACTGTCAGATGCAACCAGTGGGTGTATCGTCTTAATCAGGGAAATGGGGCTGTTCACGGTCTCTTGGAGACACCGTATTTTCGGTCCATACGACTACTGTGTTACACTCGGTGAGCGGAATGTCGCACAATGGCAATAAACATGCATCGCGTCTTGACAGGATGTCTTTTTCGATACTGCTAGCAAACCATGGCGCTCTAAATTTGTCGAGGCTATCAGCGATGAGATTTTGCTCTCATATCGTGTTGATATAGTTGAAGCTTGACATGGCTTCAAACTGGCAAACATATATCGTTTCAATGCTGTTGCATATCTTGTCTTTTCTGAGGCATGTATGCAGCTTGTTTTTCTCGTCATCGATAACATGTGTCTCACATTATTGAATAACAACCCCTCTACATGCAATTCGCTGGTAACATAATGGGATGTATACAAATCTCCACGAAAGGCGAAACCACCCAGTCAAGGTAGGTGGCCGGCTCTAGGGGCACATGGTGGTGTCAACGCTCAAGGTCTCTTTTCTTATCAAGTGGCTTCTAGAACCGCTACTCTCACTGAAACCCGGGCAAGCGAGATGCATTCATCGCCCCAAGGTAGTTTGCACTACGTCTTGGGATGTTATCAAAAGTCACTTGTATGTACGGAAAATAACGGCATCTTTGAGGAATAGAATGACACAGGCGCCATGAATCTGATCGTTAGCGACGAACGATGAGAAAACTACGACAAGAGCCAGACAGTGTAGTCAGTGTTCAGTATGTTGATGTTGATAGAGAAGCGCGTTAGATGGTGATCGTATTTTCTAGCCACAGAGCAGACATCTGGAAAGCAGCTCTACAAGGGATGCGCTGTCCATCCAGTAAAGGGCAACTGCTACAAGGCAATCAAATCAAGCAAAGTATCATGAGTAAGATACGAAGTACTTGTATTCTATATCGCTATTACTGTGACAGAAACTTTTTCTGAGTATGAACGCCACCAGCACCATCATGCAAAGCGACTGAGTGGTCGCAAAGGATTGCTAAATATGGCAACCTCAATAGAGGAAACAAAACCATGCCAGTCTAATATGTGAAAGAACCATGCTGCCATACCAACATCGTGTCCACGCATGAAGATCAAAGCTCTGTCCATGGGGTATCAGGGTACGACAGAGCCTGAGCCTTCCGTGGCGCTTGGAAATGTGATGAAACATGAAGTAAGTCCGAAACGATTACCTCCAACGCCGAAATCAGGTTGGTGAAATGTAAGCTCATCGTTCTAATGACGTGATAAGCAAGTGCGATGGATAAAGTAATCACCAACGGCTGTTGCGGATGGGATCGCTGTTACCTCCGGTCCAACCTGAGATTGGCGTTAGGTCTCGCTTGTTGTCGAAGGGACTTCTACCACCTACCACCACGTCCGCCACGGCCTCCACCACGGCCGCGACCACCTCCCCAGCGACCGCCACCACCGCCACCACCACCGTAGCGGGCCATTTCGTGGAGGCGAGGATCGATCTGCTGCTTGGACTCTGTGAGAATCTGGACGAGATCACGAGCTTGCTTGGAGTCTAATGAAGCTGTTAGTGGTTTACTTATATGGTAATGGTTTGAGGATACATACTGTCTGTAGTGAAGAGTGTGATGGCAGTACCGTTAGCGCCAGCACGACCAGTACGACCAATGCGGTGGACATAGTCCTCCGAGTTGTTCGGGTAGTCATAGTTGAACACGTGAGTAATGTTGCGGACATCTTGAAGAGCAAAGGTTAGTTACTGATAAAAGGAACGAGCAAACGACGATCAAGATTGGATCGCGTGAAGCTGCTGTATGTTGCATGCAACCGTCTCTGTGCGCTACAACGAAGATCACGGCATCAAGTCCAGTGGGAAGGCTGTGGATATCTCCTGGTCCAGAAACCCTTGGAAGAGAGAGTGCGACTTGTGGAAGTCAAGTATCTCAAGCAGCTTGCTTCAGTAATACCTTGGTAATACCAGAAACAGAAGATAGCGAAGACTAAAAGCTTCGCCAGCGTGACCAAGGATCCCTGGGGATCAGATTCGAGAGAAATGCAAGCCCTGGACGATGTCATGGAAGCGAGTGTAACAAGCGCACAAGACGACCTAAGCAGAGCACAATGGCAGTTCACGCATAATAATAGTTGGGGAGGTGAGGAGGGGGGAGTGTTGGGGGTTTGCAATCATACCGATACCACGGGAAGCCACGTCGGTGGCAACCATGATGGGACTCTTGCCCGTCTTGAATTCGTTCAAGACCCAGTCGCGCTCGTTTTGCTGCTTGTCGCCGTGGATGGCTGAAAATGGGTTAGCAATGCTCGTGTCATGGAGTGCAGTCAAACTTACAAAGCGCCGGCCAGCCGTCCTGACGAAGGAATCGGGTGATCTCGTCAGCAACGCGCTTGGTGCCTGTGAAGATGAGGATCTTGTTATCCTTGTCGCTCATGATGGTCTCGAGGTGCTTGGCCATGCGGTCACGCTTCTCAAACTCTGTGCAGACTTCAACAATTTGTTGAATGCGGTGGTTAGCAGAGAGATCCATGGAACCGATGTTGACCTGGATCCAGTCCTTTTGGTAGTCGGCAGCAAGCTGGCGAACTTCCTTGGGCCATGTAGCGGACCACATGCAGGTTTGACGATCAGGGCGAATTTGACCGATAATCTTGCGGATTTGAGGCTCGAAACCCATGTCAAGCATGCGGTCAGCCTCGTCGAGAACCAGGTAGGTGACACGGCGGAGGTTGGTCTTGCCAGCCTCAAGCATGTCGATGAGACGTCCGGGGGTGGCGATGCACACCTCAACACCGCGTGCGAGGTCACGGATCTGGGGACCCTTGGGAACACCTCCATAGACGCAGGTGTTTCGGATGCGCGAGGACTTTCCGAACTTGCTGATCTCTTGTTGAATCTGGACAGCAAGCTCACGAGTGGGAGCGAGGATCAGGACAATAGGGCCATCACCAGGGGCGAGGAGAGGCTGAGCGTTGATGTGGACGATAGCAGGAAGACAGTAGGTGAGCGTCTTTCCGGAACCAGTCTCGGCAACACCGACAACGTCGCGACCAGAGAGAGCCATGGGCCAACCCTGAGCCTGAATAGCAGTGGGCTTTGCGAAACCCTGGGCCTTGACTTCGTTCATGACGTAGGATGGGAAACCAGCCTCGTCGAAGGTTGTGACGGGCTTAGGGATGTTCTCGCCCTTGACGGTCATCTGGTGCTCCTTGCGGTATTCGGCAACCTCAGCGGCTGATCGCGCAGTAACAGCGGGGTCCTCCTTGTAGAAAGACTTCTCGAACTTGGGCATGGTGTCAAGATCTAGAAAACGTTAGTATTGCGCTGAGTAGGCAAGAGTGCATATGGAACGTACCCCATGATTGCTGCTTCAGGCCCTGGCCGAGTTGCGACATGCGGTCACCGCCGTCGCGACCACCGCCAAAGCCGCCGCCGCCATAACCACCACCACCGTAGCCACCTCCGCCGCCGCCGGAGTAGCCGTTGGAACCGCCACCGTAGCCGCCACTATATAGATGTTAGCAAAGGTCGCTGAGATGGAATGAGTGACAGAAGGGGAATTCTACGTTGTCGCAAAGAGTACTTGACCGTCCGCTATGACTGTAAAAGACAGCTCATCAGGCAGCACGATCAGACTCAGACTGCGCGCAGAATTGTAAGAAGAAATGTAGCAGATGGAGGGCTGTCCAAGAACCACGACTGTGATGCCTCTCCCGTGTGAAGGGGGTGTATCGTCCTACCCGTACGATGCATAATGGCTTGTCGAGTTGTTGTAAGACCCATATCCAGCATTGCTGTTTTCGTACCCGTTCGAGTAGCCGCGGTCACCACCGCGACCGCCGCCGCCGTATCCACCACCACCACCACCGCCGCCGCCGTAACCGCCGCTGTAAGACATGATGTGCGTGTGTTTTGTAGGGACTGGTGTGAAAGGGGAACCGATCGAGTCTGAGGGAGTGTGTATCGTAATCTGGGGACTACGAGGGTATATTAGATATAATAGAGCGACTGTAGAAGTGTCGCGTGTTGTGCGGGAGAAGAAGCACAAAAGGTAGAGGATGTGAGTTGGGAGTGAGAGGAAGTAAGAGGGCAGAGCGCGACAGGAAAAGTTGCCTTGCCTCTGCTGCGCTTGCACATTTTTTGAGACGCTAGCGCCACTAGAGCCAGGGTCTCGCCCAGTTGGGTAAGGGCGGAGCTTGCCGTTAGCCCGGGGAAGCGCACCAACAACACCGGCAAACATCTCGCCACTGTGGGTCTTGCACCTCGATGGCTATGGAGAAAAATCCATCGCGACCCGCATATTGCAAGCTCTGATGCGTAATTTCAAAGTTGGGACCAAAGCATGTACGCGTTCACTTTTGGTACCCGGAGTTGGACCTGGACTACAGACGCATGATTGAGAATAGTGAGGAACGACAGTCCGGCAACGCCTATGATTGTATCCGTCTTTTGCAGCCTACGACTGCATCACAGGCCCTTGTATATTCACCTTGTTTCATCCCCGGCTCTAAGCCCCATATCCCAGAAGCCTCTCTCCATCTGCGTAGCATTAGCATATCAACGTCCATCGTCTCCATCAGAGTACTCACATTTGTGGCGTGTATAAAGATACCCGCTAACTCTTCGACCCTGCTCGGACTCAACCCTTCGGCATGCCTCTCTACCAACTCACTCCCTCTCATCATCGCCTCCCTGTACTCCTCTGCCACATATTGTTCAATCCACTTCCAGTACTTGCTTCCCACCCTCACAGTGTTGGCATCTTCATAGAGACGTTTAGCGATGATGCCGTAACCGATGAGGCAGGGGAGAAGGGCAATCTGTAGGGCGAGATAGTCTTGCGACATGCCGATGTCGAGGACGTAGCGGGTGTATGCCGTGGTGGCTTGGTCCTCTTCTTCATTGATGATATCGGCTTCTGACAGTCCGTATCCTTTACAGAAGTCGATATGCAGCTGTATCTCTTCTTGGAGGGTGACGACCTGTTGCACAGAGCGGCCGATATCTTTCAGGTTGCTTGACTTGTATGCAGACAGCGCGTTCGCTCTTGCAAATTGAACCTCCGCATCCGTCAGCTACTATCCCATATGCGGATTAAAATATGACAGGCTGTGTACTTACCAAGAAGAGGTAGTCCTGCACAAGATAGTACATGAACTTCTCCACTGGTAATGTCCCAGCGCCCATACTCTGCACAAAGTCGTGCTGAGTATACTCCTTCCACGGCTTCTGCACGTCTTCTCGATCCAGCAGGTAACTGATAAAGTTCCCTGGTGTGAAAGGCAGCATATACACTGAGTGGAAGTGATTGATTGGGCCAATCCCCTGTCCTAAGTCGACAGCTGTCTTGATTCCTGCTTCAACATACAGGTTCGCCTTCTTCACTGCCTTGACCATCGACATTCCCTCAGCCAGATTACATGCAATAGCGGATGCTAACGAGCATCCAGTTCCATGCGTGTTCTTTGACTGCAGATACGGGCTTTCCAGCATCGTGACTCCAGTCTCGCCTACAAGTACATTCAAAACGACATCTTGTTCGCTATTCTGGGTGCTTACTACATGGCCGTGGGTCAATGGTAAATGGCCACCTTTCAGCAATACCCATCTCGGTCCTAGTGATTGGATATGCTGCGCTATGGAGACGATATCTTTGACATTTTGGGGGTCAGGGAGATTCAAGCCGGCGGTCTGGAGCAGTAGGCGTGCTTCTGGAAGGTTTGGTGTAAGAAGCGTAGTGTGAGGCAGGAGGTGTTGAATTAGTGTTGAAATGGCGGTTTCAGGAAGGAGCTGTGAGCCAGATGTTGACACCATTACCTATTAATATGGTCAGCTTAATCAGCAAACTGTGAGAATTGGATACAAGGGGCACTCAGATGGAACCTGAAACGTACAGGGTCAACAATAGTAGTGTTAATTTCATGTCTCCTGAAAGCGTCCGCAGTGATCAAGATTGTTTCGGCGGAGGCAAGCATGCCTGCATTTCATCAGCGCATCGATTAACCAGATAGCTCTTCCTAATCATCATCCTACCGGTCTTGACCACATCCACACCAACATCTTCACAAACAGCATCAATCTGCTTCCGCACAAAGTCCGGTGGCGTGTGATGTATATCCTGTACGCCGAGCGTGTTCTGCGCTGTCAATGCAGTCGTAGCGGTCATAGCATAGCAGCCATGGGCTGCAATGACCTTCTGATCAGCTTCTAGTCCGCTGTTGGTGTGGCAGGATTGTTAGTGGTGTGTGGCTGATGGAGGACGGATGCATGCATGCGTACGTACGCCCCACCCGAACTGTCCGAGCCAGCGATTACTAGGATGCGCTTCGGTGTCATTGTCGATTGGAGAGAGTACGAAGATGTTGCTTAACGCGGGTCTGGACAAAGAAGCAGCAAGACCATTTGCATCGTTTTCTCCAGGCAGCCCCACCATCCGCGGATACGCGTACGCGAGCTCCACGTCATCGACTCACATCTTACTACTGCCGCAAGACACAGAAGCTGCATGCCTGACGCTGTGGAATGTTGCTTATACGAATTTGTATATGTATGCGCAAATTCCCATTCCAGACCCTAATGGGCCATTGTCATATTGATAAGATGCATCGAAAGGAACCCATTTGCGGTGTGGACGTTGCGAGACGTTGGTGTAAGCGAAAGTACATACCCTACGTAAAATGAACCTCTAGGTATAACGAGAGACCATGTAAGCAAGTAAACAAACATGTTACAGACTATCTGCATTGATTGGCACCCATCAAGCCACAATCACCATCACGACCCCCAGGAGTATCATCCACCCTATCGCGCACGCAGATGGCGACAATCCTGCTGCAGTGTTCTTCTTTGAATCCTCCATAACCAACTTAGCATCCATTTACGATGCAGTCGTACTGTTGTAGTTCATGCAAGTATTCCCTACGTCGCTCAGCGATCCATTAGCAAATGACAGGTCGAACGAGCCACCCAACGTCCCAGATACGACTTCCGCAACACCCGCCAACCCAACCTGCCAGTTGGCCGACCTCTTCATCTGCAGAACATCCGTTAGGACTTTCTCAGCAACCTCTTTATCGTCGCTCTGACTCGTTGTGAGGTTGATGCATTCTTCATCCACGCCTGTCAAGGGAATGAACTAACTCAGATCTGTGTTTGGGCAAGTCGAGATAGACACCGGTCCTGAGGCTTGTTAAGTCCAAGGCAAACTCGAAGCCTACTTATATGTTGTGACGCAAGGATATGTCTACTGTACCGGCGCTGACGTCGAAGAATGACTGGAAAGGGATCGCGGTTAAGCTGGTCTCCTGGAATCCGTCGATGATGGAGCTGTCTAGATTGGTAAAATCGAGGAAAAGACGTGATTTATCAGGAGCCTGAATCTGGATTTAGTCCTTGCGACTAGTATAGCAAGAAATGGTATTTCTTACATTGATCTCAAAGCCGTGTGTAACATCAGTATACGCACCTTGATGCAAAACGCGGTGCTAGTCTTACATGGAGCCATTGACATTGTAGTCTAGATGGAGAGTAGGAATGTACAAGATGTCCCGCTACTCCCATATCCCCTGATCTGCATCCATGTTCAGCTCGAGATATGATCATAGATATTTCGTTGAGAGTCGTGGGCCTGCCTGCTAGAGTTGACTTACCAATATTCCATACCGTAAAGGTACCACAAAGAGCGGAACTTCCACAACATCGTTGCCAGTTACGTTGGTCAGCAGATCTACTCGTGCACCCATACCATTTGCGATGATCTCGAGTTCACCGCCTTGAAATATACCCCCAAGCTCTAGAGGCGGCTCTATGAGAAGCCCGGGTATATCTTCCGGATCCTGCAAGCTGAAGGATAGGAGCGAGAAGTCAAGAGTCCCGAAAGTCGAACAGTTCTTGCACGACAGCAAGGTAGAATTGCTTAACCGGATAAGATTTTGATCAGAATCGGCACTATAATTCAGATCCAAAGTAGTGACTGATTCGGTAGACGTCGCGGTCTGCTCCGGTAAAGTATATATAGGAATATTGTTAGATGAAGTTGGAGTGGCATCGTCTGGCTCGTCTTGACGGCGGTATAGTTTGTCATGGGAACGAAGAGCGTGGCTTTCGCTGGTATGGTACATAGTCACATCAAGGCTTTTGCAGCAACCGTTCCAGGAGGCTTCCACTACCTCGACGACAAACTTGGGGCTTGTCGCATCTACATCCACGTCGGAAACTCTGCTACAATCCAGACACTCTTCGACCTATTGATGGAACTGGGAAAGCATCTTACTTGAAGATTTATTGCTCACCATAATCATTGTATTCATAATAAGATGTGATGATCGATCCAGCTCCTGTAAGGCCAAGGAGCGCGCTTTAATTGGTAGCGTTATCGATAATAGATGGTAGTTCGATTACAATCTGGCCAGCGTAGCATATGATAGACTTAGTATGGTGTTCGAAGTCTTCTAAAAGTAACATGGGAGCCGAAGCGTTGCACTAAACCGTGGCCCCGAAGTTCGGTTCGTTATTCAAATTCTCATCTATGCAACGTTAGCAGACACCACGTACAAAACACTGTTAGTGGCGTACTTCCGATGTAAGACAAGTTAACTTGATCGACTGCAACGAAACCGATCTGTCGTTTCTAGAGACTTGAAACACTTGTAGCAGCCTAAAATAATTTGTTTCCGGAAAGCTTATCCTGATGGCTCGGTGGCGAGCTGACCGCAATCGATGTCTTCCACTACTACACCGGTGAACCAGGGAAACATTAGTTGAGCAGATTGTATAACACTTTGTAACCAGCTTTTATTGAAGCATGAGGTGTGTATCTTCTGCAACGGTTGCGTATTCTCCTTTATCCAGCTCAACTTGCGAACTGCGTTCACCAGTATCATGCCACTACCACAGTCCCTTAATTTGGGAAACACGCTGAGTAGGCTCAAACACTTCACTACTATCCACCGTGTTCGCCGTTGGCACACCGCCACTATCTGTAAATGTTGGGAAGGCCGACGCATCGTGGTTGGCACTCGCGTCCCAGCCTAGCGTATCTTCCTTATCATAGTCAAGAGGCGCCCAGGCTGCGTCTTCGTCCTCCGGCACGAAGAGGCTCTCCGAATCCTGACGCGCAGGCTGTACTTGCGCTGCTGAGGCCTGGCGGGACCCTGGATTCCGGACTCGACCGGACCCATCGCGTCGTGATGCTGGTTGCACAGGTGGAGGCATGTCAGATCGGAAGCCGCGACTCTCTCCGCGTTCCGCTGTTGCCGTTGATTTAGTGCGAGACGTCTGCCTGCTGCTTATCGCTTGCGGCGCAGGTGTTGGTGGAGCTGCGTTGTAATCGCCCGAAGTCATTAGCGTAAACTCACAAAGCAACCCACCGCATCCATAGCTGAACTGTAGCGGTCGCGTTGGTTGGGAGTAAAAAGCCTTCAAGCTTGTCTTCAACGTGTCTGCGTGAACAACGATGGCTTTAAAATCTTTGACGCTGATGATGATATGCATGCCCGCCTGCACAGTGAACTGTTCAAAGTCGGATGTATTGACTGCGACTGCAGTGACGAGTGGGTGCTTCAAGATCTCCTTCCCGTTTGAGATCTTTTCCGTATAGCTCTTAAAGACGCAACGACCGTCTGCGCTAGCGAATATGTCAAGCATTTCAGTTTTGGTACCGAAGTACTCAGTATATTCCTTCACAGCACTAGAGTGCATGCTCCACCTATTTTTCGCTATGTTGCGATCGAAAAGCGCGTGCATGACGTCGACAGCTTCGTACGTGAGTTTGTAGGTCTTGATGACACCCTGGTTGCACACCATCTTGACGATGAATCGGCATTGTGTCTCGTTCTCCCGCTCTTGCACGCTAACTTCACAGCGATCAATTGCACCATCGCGCCCTAGCGGGTCGTACAAGCGACCTTTAAAGACCGACAAGAGCGCTTTTGTGTACATGCTGCATGTAAAGCGGCCGTCAGGTCCGCCATGACTCGGCACGCACTCATAGTTCGCGAAGAATTTCCGACCATCCAACGTAATAGCGGCGTAGGCGGATTTTGAAGGGTTGAGAGCGGTAAACGTAAACTGATGCAGGACGTATGAGATGCCAAACTGAACAGAAGGAAGAGCGGCAAACCAACCTTTTCTCGACGCGCTTCAATCGCTACGGTCTCGCTGAACTTGCCTAGGCAAACAAGCAGGTCGTGAACCTTAGACGCTGCCTCAGGCGTTAGGGTGAAGTTGAGGACGACCATTGTGCCTTTCCGGGACAGCTCGCATCGTGGTGAGGTATCGGTGTTGTATCGCGAAGAGCCACCGAAAGCGGAAAGAGCGCGTCAAAAACGCGCTAGCGCATTGACATCATCGTGCCTACTTCCACGGGAAGAGCAGCACATCCAGCCACTTTCCTGAGAGCGACTTCAGGAATTGTCGGTGTAAACAACATGACTCAGTCAGCGCTTCCAGATGATATTCTGCATCTCCTGTGCGAAGAACTTGCCAATCAAGAACAATTCGACACGCTCTTTAACTGTGCTTCTGCCAGCCGTGCTCTCGCCGTACCTGCATTAACTCATCTGTACAAGTACGTTGCCACTGGTCTCGCCAGCTGATCACTACTTTACTGACATAAGTATAAGATCTCACCACCTAGCTCCCGTCCGGGGTGGGGGAGAAGATCTCTACGGCTTACCTGCTGCCACCAAGCTTCTTACAATTCAGAAATGGTAAAATCTCCCATGTACGAACTGCGTGTGAGACATACACTGATTTCGTACATGGAAATCCTAGGTCCATTCTGTGGCGATCAATTGTCGCATCCAGTCTCGACGTCACACTTTTCCCCTACTGTCGCTACATCAAGTTACTAGACTTTCGCGATCTGGGGTATCTCCTCGATGACGATCAGTTCCGTGCCAAAGTCTCCAAGTAAGGGAAACTTCAATAGCGGATGCCGTCAAATCTGATCTTAATCCAGGCAATTCTTCTCCGGGCCACTGAAACAATTCGAAAGAACCGAGTCAGGAATAAATATCAAAGGCAAGAAGTATACACGAATAAAGACAGCGGACATCATCGACGCGATCGGCGAAGGTATACATAATGCGCGAAACTCATGAGATGTCTATTAACATGTAGCAGTGGTTACCCAGCACACACCAACTCTCGAAATCATCAGTGGCGAGCGCAAGTAGATCCCGGTCTCTCTAATATCGCAGATGACCTGACAATGACTAGTTCAGCCTGGTGCTCTTGTACGATGGACGCCCCGGCTTCCCCGGCTCCAAAGCCTCGAACTGTGGGACGGAAAGCCTCTGGAAGATGAACTGGTCCACGCATCCATCAACAACCATTGTCCGCAATTCAGAGCCCTTATGATCTACACCTGGGTCTCCGAAGACAATGATCGCAAATTCGCCAAATTCCTTTCCTCGATGCGGCCAAACACACTTCAGACACTCCAAACGATTAGCGACGTCAAGGCAGGCGCCGAATCATTCTTAGCTCTTAATCACCATGGAAACTCACTCGAAGATCTAAGAATATGTGTATCCAATGATTCGATACCGCATTTGTCCCTACTGCAAGGATGTGTAGCTCTGAAAACACTGCGCATCGAGGATATACATGGTGCCGTCGACTTGGAAGCAACAGAACATGACGTCTTCCTCGAAACGACCGCCTGGCTACGCAAGTGCGCAGATCTTCAGCGTCTCAGTTTCTCGAAACTGCAATCCGGAGCCGCACTAATCACGCCTGTGCTACTGGAAGAGAAGATACAACTCAATAGCCTGGAGATAGATTCGTACACACTAAAAGACCATAAGACATTCCATCAGGCTCTTGTACACCAACAGTCATCCTTGAGGGTGCTGTTTCTGAGCGGCGATACCGATGGCATGTTTCGAGATGACTTGGACATCCTCGTGGATTCCTTGAAGCAATTGACAGAGTTGCGGGATCTGCACCTCATCCTCCCCGAGGTCCTGCGAGATGAACATCTCATTACCATCATCGCTAATCTCACCCTGCTGGAGGATCTATACGTCAGTGGCCTGGAGCTCAACGACATCGTACTACCTCATCTGGCGAGCCTACCGAACCTCCGTACCGTCACCATCTCCGGTATATCAAAATTCACAATGGATGGTCTCCTGGATTTCGTATCAAGGCTAGGGCCGGGCAATCAGGGCATCCGTCTTTCAGTCGATATGGCGGACACGGATACACTGCTTTCGGAAGACGAACTGACCTTGGTAAGAGACAACCTTGCGGAAAAGGCTGGTGGTACATTGGAGTACATGGCGCTCAGAGGTACGTATTCCCGTGATGAACTTGCGAAAAACAAAATACCTTGCTAACTATCTGCATTCAGACCCGAACGTTCCTGAGTTTGAAAGCGACTCTGACTGAGGCTTGTCTTTCAGCTCCCACATTAGGATGATACTTTTTGAAAAGAGTTTATATTGCACTATGTTTGGGGGTAAAATTAGCTTTTCTTAACTAGCACGACTAATGAGGACAATGAACTTGGCCATTGTGCTTTCAGCCCACAAGAATGTAAGATCTTGCTTTACTCACAAAAGGTTGAAATGTTGAAAACAAAAACTGCACCTCATAAGAATAGCCCTTCAGATTTTCGCTTGCTCAACCCATGACAATGTCATCGTCTCCTTCGTTTCCCTTGATACGTTCTTCCAGCAGCGGAAGCCTTCTCCGGATAATATCTCTCTCCAACTCCGGTAACTTCTTGAGTCTCTTGATGAAGTCTGAGTTTAAGTTGTCGTCGTCCAGATAAATCAACCGATTCTCCGCGATATACATTGCCAGATACTCCTTCAACCTCGCTTGCGAGGGAAGAGCTGTGTCTTGTGAACCATAGACCTGACAGGCGAAAACCAAGACGTCATACATCCCTGGCTCTATGCGTCCTTCCAGCTTTTCGACAACATGATCCATCATATCTGACATGCCCAGCTTCTCGGGAGTAACCCATGCTGACACGCATTGTGCGAATGATTCGTCCATTTCGTCTCCATCTCGCGGGTATCGGTGACCAAACCCGTCACTCTCGAGGTATTCTGCGACAAACACAAAATCGTCTGGCTGAATTTCGGCAAGAGCAGGATGCCGGAGTTCCCACATCCCGTCGTCATTGTGGTCAAAGCGATTGACGCCGTACCTGGGGTCGCGGAAATACGTGCGGTTCCACACACACTGCTTCTGCAGCATGCTGACCTCTTCGTTTGGACCAACGAGAACTTGGACGAACTCTTTGCTTTGAGATCTGTACACAGTTAGTCAGGAAAACTCAAGGCTCTATCGTCAAACCCACAATTCGCCATCAACGATATCACTGGTCGGTTCCTTCATGCCGCGATCTAAGCCACCGAGAGCATTGTCGATGAAGGATGAGAGCTTGGGAGGGGTTAGCCTAGTTGGTAGTTTTCCAGCTGAACGTGAAGAGGTACCTTCATTCGTTAAGTCTATAGGCGTATCTGGTCTGTAGTCATGTAGCCTGTCTCTCGAGGATGATGGAGGGCGAGGCTTTCCATCGTGATCTGGGAAATCTGATAGGCTAGCGACAGTGCTTGAAGGTGCTGCCCAGGTCGGTGTGAACGAAATCGAGGCGCTGTTCGCTTGAGCGGCAACATCGACTTGATGATTACCCGAGCATCTTGTCGGGGTCAATGGTGACAGGGAGGATGTCGGTAGACTCGCAGTACGTCTTGCAACTCTTTTTCTCAGCTGCTTACTGCAGAAGTCTTCTCGACTTAAGCGGAGAGCCTTTCGTAATTCTGGATCAGAGCACCCTTCTTCATCTGAGTCGGCCTCATCGCTTTCCGAGCCTGAAGCGTCGTTGACCGGGTTTGTCACTTGTTCTTGCCAGTAATCAAGACCTACACCCACCTCCAGGATGTTATTGGCCATTTCGTAGGCGTCACCTAGACCGGGCGTATTGCCCATGCTGTCCTCGTGCGTAAAGGGTGCGAAGGGATCGAAGTCGCTGATCTCTGTGGTCAGCGCCCAGCGACTGCATGTGTTAGCAGAGTCGGCAAATCCTTCAAGCTCTGGATTCTTACAATTCCAGGTTTGCGCCCATCAGCAGCACCAGCGTAACGTACCCATGAGGGCGGATGCGCGCCACTCCATTCGGTGCCATGTCATCAGTACAAATCACTGCCGGTCATGGTAGAAGGAATGATCCAGACACTCTGTACTGTACCAGGCTACCTGGAGAGAATTGCATTATAGTTGTCCTGTTTATACAATGTGTTGATGTTGTTTGAGGAAGATGGTTGAGTAGAAGTAGGTTGATGAGAGGTGGTCGTCGTATGGTAGTTGGCGCTCAAATACTTATTCTTGGTTATAAAAGATATTTATGAGTGCTAAATACTTCGTTCAACGCAGTCTGATATAAGTATACATCATATGGACACATCTTAGGTGTGGAGGCGGCTTCAAGTAAAAGCCATGCTAAGTGAGGGAAGAGAACAGATCCTGAAAGCCTTCGCACACACTACAGCAAACCAAAAAGCGTCTACCAGACGATGCATGATGATACTGCGGGTTATGAAATATGTGCTGATGCTTCAAAGTGTGTTGTGTGGTGTCAAGTTCAAGTGACAGAGAGAGATGCGGAGTTCATAGCTCATATCTCGGAGGTTGACTAAGCTGCCCGCAACAGCGAATCCAAGGACATCTGGCTTCAACATTCTCCACCACGGTTCCACGACGCGCAAACCACTGCGACGTCTGCCTCTGTCCTTCTCTCGGAATACGTTCGCTGCGAACAAAGACCCGAAAGAACGCGACTTCACGACCCTACTGCGCGTTCCACCTCCAAACCACGACCGACGAACGTACCTCTACCTCCAACCTCTACATCACCACCCCCGATCCGCAGCCATGCTGGGCCTCGCCAACATGCAACCGCGGCAACTCGCCGCACAGGTCCTAAACTTCGCGCTCGTCCTCTCTACCGCCTTCATGATGTGGAAAGGACTGTCCGTAGTCTCCGACTCGCCCTCACCCATTGTCGTCGTCTTGTCAGGATCCATGGAGCCTGCGTTCCAACGAGGAGATCTACTATTCCTGTGGAACCGGGGGGCAGACACGCAAGTGGGTGAGATTGTAGTATACAACGTCAAGGGAAAGGATATCCCCATCGTGCACCGTGTTGTGAGAAGATATGGGGGAGGGTGAGTTGCGCTTTCTTGTCTTTGCGTTGACTGGGATTATTGGAGAGGGCTGAAGAAGTCTGATTCAGTCTTCACATGCTAAGGTGTTATCACAAAGCTCATGCTGACTCGATTCCTAGCAAAACACCCCTTCGCCTCCTAACCAAGGGTGACAACAACCTCGCAGACGATACCGAACTTTACGCCGCCGGCCAGTCCTTCTTAAACCGCAAAGAAGACGTCATCGGAAGCGTTGTCGGCTTCATACCCTTTGTCGGATACGTTACCATTTTGCTGAGCGAACACCCTTGGCTGAAGCAGGTCATGTTAGGCATGATGGGTGTCATGGTCGTTCTGCAGAGAGAGTAGTGTTTGCGTGTTGGTTGAAGATGATCCTCCGTTTTGAGATACATGTTTCTAATGGGCACGCGGACAAGATGTGTGGGAAGGGCCCAGTTGGTATGCTTCGTACCTACCACATATTCTATGTGCATCTGCTGTCTTGAGGAGGACGAGGCTAGGCGTACAGACTATACCCCGACAATGTTCTGTTGGTTCCAAAGTCGAAAAAAAAGGATATACCCACGACTGCGCAGCTACTGCCCATCGTATGCTTCTATGCGCAGTCTCCAAACTATACATCAGGTTCAAAACACCCATCATATCTGTTCTGATGAACACATTTCATAACTCCCAGTAAGGTCACACTGGTATCTCGTAACTTACCTACATCTCGCATCATGACATCACCCACCTCTCCTTTGCATCATCAGATCATCATTCCCACACGGTACCCCTGGCAAAAAACAAGCCCACCTTGCTCACGGTAACAGCAAAAAGAAAGCACTGCGCCGTACGGGGTTTGACTGCTTCACTGTTAGCTCTGTGATTCGAACAGGCCCTTGTTCATGTACTTACACCCGTGATCCCCGCCTCCTTCGTTTGATGGGAAGGCGATAGCATACCACTAGCCCAACGGCGCTTTGATACTATGATGGAGTGATGAAGTAGCGCCGAATTAGAGGCATTATATATACAACATGTAATTAGGTAGGCTGTTGAGAAGGTGAGGAACAAGGAGTGCATCTGAGAAGCCTGGGAAGGAACGACTACCGTGGATGCGGGTGCCCGGTTTGGCGGTGTAAGGGAAAACATTGAACGACGGTTACACGTCGCTTGAAACGAAGGAACTTGGGGTTACCATGGCTGGAAAGGGTCTATCGCCTCGTCATGTCCTGACTTTAACACTAGGCAAGCTATAAATGTCAACATCAGGGGCTGAGTTGGGATTCAAACTACTGCGAGCATGCGCAGTGCTACGCCCAGGCCTGACCACACGAATACCAGTATCACGTAGCAAGGAAATTGTCGTAGGAGCAGCAAAGATTTTCCATACCGCAGTTGCTAGTATACATAGACTTGGTCATGAGCTTCGTGATGTTCCTTCACAACGTCAAGAGTAAGACGCCCAAACATCATGACCGCCCGCCATCAGCGCAAATCGTACTGACTGCGGCCGTCTTTATCGAAATGAACCACAGGTTGGCTAGCCGAAGACCTTCCTCCGCAAGAGATAACGAACCCATTAAGAAGTAGGAAGATCACAAATGAAATCGAGAGAGGCTTAGTAGCCTAGGCCACCTATGACAAGACATCTTCAGCATTGTTGATGGAAGCACGAGTGAGGTGCTAGCCTCTACTCGGACTCCTCCTCTTCTTCCTCGCCGGCCTATCGGTTGTTAGTCAAGCTGTCATAATCTCGAAATGCATGTAGGAACATACCTGGTAAGCGGCCTTCTCCTCCTCGTAGCGCTTCTTGTCAGCAGCAGCCTTGGCCTCGTATGGAGTGCGCTGCTTCTCGTTCAGGGCCTTCCACTTCTCGCCGAGAACCTTGCCGACCTCGCCTGTTCAAGGTTAGAGAGGGTTTGAAGACGGGCGTGGAGCGCAAACATACCGAACTTGATACCAGGGTTGTCCTCACGGACCTTTTCACGCTGCTCGTTGGCGAAAAACATGTATGCGGAAAGACCACGCTTGGGCGCGTTGGGGTCTATTGAAGTTAGTACAAGAGCGTGTGGATGCACGTGAGCAGCTTACCCTTCTTCTTCTTGCCGCCGTCAGCCTTGGACTTGGGCGCGGCCTTGCGGGTGGTCTTCTCCTTGGGCATGATGTTGGTTGGGGGGTGTATGTGGCTGTTGTTTGTTGTTAGTTGCTGGTCGAGTTGCAAGCAGCGTGTAGGTGAGAGAAAGCGCAGCAGAAGGATGCAATGGATGGTAAAGAGCTCAGAAGCGCAAGCACAGGCCGAAGCTAGTGTCTCGGCCTGCAAACAACGTGGTGTCTGGGTGAGTGGGTAATGGTGCTGCAGGGCTGCTATGCGCGTGAGGTGACACGGTCGCAAAACACCACAACACAACACGGTGATGCGCGATTTTACGGGAAGACAAGATGTGGGTACTTACGGAAGCTGCTAGATACGAGGAAATTGGATGTGTTGACTGATGTCTGTTTTGCAGTCAGTATGGGCGTGGTATCGAGTGCTGGCGACGGCGATGAAGAATCAATCGAACGCGATGACGTTCGGAAGATGGAAGAAAGAAGGCTGGGAGAGAGCTAGTTGGGGAAATTGGGGCAGGGAAACGCGTGGAAAAAGGGTGTGGTTGCGAAAAGTGGTTCTGGTGATGTTGCGACTTCGTCAAAATACAGGCGGACTCACCAAACGTCTTTGCGGGCGAAAGTTGTATGGGCGGCGGATTTGTTAGGGGAGGAATTGGGTGAGGGCTCAGCAGCACATTTTGTGAGAGGGCAGGCGCGCCTCCCCCAACAACAGGCCTGCTTACCTAAGGTACGAACGAGGCAGGCACGCTTGTTTTGCTACTGCCATAGCACACGCACCCGGACCACAACCCCTCCTTCATCCAACCGCTGCTGCGCTCCTTCACCGCATGAGACGATGCGGACGACGGCAGTCTTGGGTGGCTTCACGTTGTCTTTCTGGCATTGCACACGTCCTCTTCAGTCACCAAGAGGCTGCTCGTCGCTGTCTTGCCCTTTGCACTGCTGCGGGCTACACGGCGCATCCCTGGGCGCGGAGGCGCTGCCCTTCGTTCTTTCCTGGCGAGTTTCAAGTTTGGTTAGATTGCACGCAGAAGCACACGGTCTACCATTCGTTGGACGCATCCATCAGAAGCGGCCCTTGACGTTATCATTCATAGCGCGGCTGGCTGATGTTCTTCCCCGAGCACCAAAGCACCCAGCATCCAGTCCCAGTCGCGCAACCTGCCCACCCCTCAAACTACATGCTGCAGCCCGTTTGATGTTCTTAGCAGCTGCCCGGGACAATGGAGCAGCATGTCAGCCTATCTCACATGGCAGACTCTGCAGTGCAGCCCGTGGCATTGGTCTCCCTCGATGGCTAAGCACACTATAGTGATGGGCGGCGGCCTCTGCACCCGCTTCCGGCCACAGCGGTCTGGCTATTCACAGTGGCCGGTCCGAACACGGCAGCCGTCACTAGGTTAACGCAAGACACCATTCGAACATTGCTCACTTCCGACGGTCAAAGAGTGGACTTCTATCATCCTGGCTGAGCTTTGTGTTGAAAACTTGGACGCCTTCGGCCATCCGCCCTCTCCAAGCCTCTAACAGTCGAGGCAGGCACGCCCAGACCTAAGCCTCTCCAAAGGCCCCGAGTGCTCCAGACATTATCGTGTACCACCGCCGACACTACCTAGAAATGCTAGGCATTCCACTTGCTCTGAAACTTCGGTTTGCATCCATGTAGATTTATCGCGCGACGTTGGCCATCATCGCTCTGGCAACAGCTCTGACGTTTATCATCAATAAACATCATTACATAGGTACATACGGCGCTTCTCAAACGCCTCCCAATGCTATCAAGGGTTGCAGCAACAAATGACAATGTGAACGACACTCAATCGTCTTCATCCTCCATGACGAGCTCAGTCAGACCTTCGTCTGCAGCCCAATTGATCCCGCTACCCACTATCATGGCCGACAATATACCTCTCAGCGTCTTCACCCTCTGCCTCGAGTCCTTGAGCTCCTTTTCGACCGCATCGACTCGTTGGCGCAATTGTGGATCTTCGATGTCACGCACCGATTGCGTCTTCAGCTCTTCAGCCAGAGCAAGCATTGTTTTTGCGAGTTCTCGATTTCTTTGGTTTGCGACGATGTTGCTTTGTTCGGCCATACTCAGCGACCGAGTCGTATGAGCAAGCTTCGACGTCAGAGAACCGTGGACCATGGAAACAGTATCGTTCTCGGTGATGAGCGGCAGTATGCGCCTATACAACAACATCAGGCTATCGTTCAGACTCATCTATGCGATAACTCACTTCTCCGCAATTGACGTCTGTTCGCCGTCATGGACGGCTTTGAGAACAGGATCCATTACTAGCACATTGTGTGTGATTTTGTTCCTTATCTCGTACTCTGCTCTCGCTTCCATAGCTTCGCGCTGCGCTACAGTCAGGCGCTCCTCCAGCAGGTCATCTGGGAGTGCTGAAAAGTCATGCGCGTCTACTACAGGATGCAATTAATATTTTCTACTCCCAGGCTATATCAGCGGTGAGACGTGCCTGATTGTGGTGCTCCAAGAAGACTCTGCTGCAACTCAAGTTCCTTGAGCTGATCGTAGAGCTGTAGGGCTAGCTTCTCCGTCTCGGAAAACGCGAACGCGTCACTATGATTTGTTTGTAGCAGGTCCGCGTAGTCGTTTGAATCTTGTAATATAGGCGTCGCGTCCGCCATGTCAACATCGCCTCTTGCCGCCATGTTGTTATCGCTTTGATTCAAGTAATTCCAAGTTTGCGACTAAGACCATGTTCATCTGACCGAACGCGACCGTCTATCGTTCCCTATGATGCAGCCTCGTGGGGCCCATGCGCAGATCCCTGCATGAACCCTCCTTGGCGGTATCTGGTAACCATGTGCTCACGCATCAACTCCCCAAGCCACATGTCTCCTCTTGCACTGTCTCGACAGAACTCCACCAAGCGGGAGGGCAAGGCCGAATGTCGCTACGGATTGCTGTAGCTCATACGGGCCAGCGCCTCGACGCTGATCCCGTTGCCTTCACTTCTGTTGATGCACTCAAGTACTGGATCTCGAGAGCGACGGAGATAGCGCCCGAGCAGCAAGTCTTACTCACAACACAAGGCAAACATGTCAAGCTGCAAGCGCTCTTGACTGAGGTACAAATCCATCACAGGCTATACAGGATATATACTAACCACTCTTCTGTAGAAAGAGATATTCGTCTTCAGTCGCGAACTCTCAAATAATCCGCAGGCTGCCATATCATCCACACCACTACCAGACGCCTTCCAACCCGACGATGCGCCAAATCACCTTGCGAAGAACACCGATCTCGGGGCATGGCAGGCCCTCTTCCAAGCCCGCCGCGACTGGGCATTTGGCCTTCTCGAAAAGTCACACTCCATGTCCCAGATCGCCTCGAAGCACTTTGCCGAACAAGCTACCATTGAGAGAGCTACTCAAGTTGCCGTCGGAAACCATGATGCGCATATCAAGGGTTTGGAGCAGAAGTACCAGGCAGCCAGGGAGTGGTACGATGGAGTCGAGAAGGAAGCTGGGGACAATATACGGAGACTGGATGCCGACTTCGAACAGCTGGGGACGGTACCCGCCATCCTGAACTTTACGCGCTTTCTGGCCAAGGAGATGCGATCCCCACAGAGTGTACCCAGCAATACTCTTGTTCGCAAGACCCTCCAGGAATTTCTCGATGTCGAGGCTGTCAAGAAGGCCACATCGACGAGTAAGCGCGTTCGAGAGTCGTTTGGGAAGCACATGGACAGAATGCGCATGCAGTTGGAAAAAATCGAGGTAGATTACAACGAACTCCTGGGCGCTGTCGGCCAAAGCCAGAGCCGATCCATCGCCGACGATTCTGAAGAACCTACGCGACTATACAACGAAATCGATGCGGTTGTGAAGAAGGTCGAATCTGACTTCGAACATGTCATGGGACTAGAAGCAAGCTCCAAATCGGTAGCCCAGGTATCGAAAATGGCTTTGCTCCATACGCGAAACTTTCTGCCGGCCATACAAGAATACAGCGTGGAGATGAGCGATCTCGTACGACGGGCTGTCGAGCAAAAGAATACTGCCATCAGGAACTCGGTCGAGAGTATGCAGGGCATCGCGAATATCGAGTCGGTCATTGCGAGCATAGGTGCGCAACTCGAGCAGATTAGTATACCACAAGATGGAGTCGCTGCTTTTGAGCTCATATCTCTCGTCGGTCGTCTGCCCTACGTATACGGTACACTACTAGTCGAAGCCGTCCGAAGACGCGAGTGGACAGAAAGGATGGAAAAAGATACATCCTCGCTCGCTGAAGAGATGGCAACTTTTCAGGAAGAAGAAGAGCGTCGGCGTAAGAAGTGGCTGAAGCCAATATCAGATGTTGTCAACTTGGACGCCTTGCAAGGTGGCTCGCTGGGATTTGAATTGAATATACAACCTGAGAAGACCGTCTGGCCAATGGTCACCCGAGAAGAGCTTTTAGATTACCTCAAGGACTTGCAGAGACTGGACGGACAAGAATCTGAAGCCGAAGCATTTGCCCAAGCTATCAAGGATCTTGATCGTCCTACCAAGCAGCAAATCAAGCGCGCAAAGAACTTCAAAATGGGAAGTGTCCATGAGCCGGCTTTCGGCAGAGGCTCACAACTCATGATGCGAGGCGATGATGAGCTACGTGTGCTGAAAGAAGGTAACGCGAAGCTCGAGGATGAGCTGAAAGGCTATAGGAGCCGGGTTCGTCGGCTGGAGGATCTAGTACATCGTCAGAGTACCGTCAGCAGACTTTCAATAGGTGGTGCTCCACCGTCATTCGGCATACCTGATCCAGGCGACCCCTCGACGCCAACAGCCGAAGTCGCTTCACCTAGACCTCAGGAAGAGCTCTCCCGACGCTCTTCAATTTCTTCTAGACGGTACTCGGCGAATGCAGGGCAAGAAGACAAGCGCCGTATTCTTCGCCTTGAACAACAGCTCGCGGCGGAGAAGGAGGCTCGGGCGAAACTCGAGAATGATGCACAAGCTCGGAGAGACGACGATGCAGATCAACAACGCCGTTTTGAGGAGGCCATGTCTACTAAGAACAACATCATGGAAAATATGAGGGCGCAACAAAAAGAGTTTGCCGACGAGCGCAAGTCGCTTGAGGACGAGATTCGAGCGTACAAAGCCAAGATTGAAGAAGCCGAAGATGAACTGGATCGCGTCTTAGGTAGTCGGGACAACGAGCGAACAGGTGTGGATGCCAGGGTACAAGAGCTGGTTTCTCAACTTGAGAAGGCGCGCAAAGATGCTGCCGAGCAGAGCAAACAAGCCGAAGAGCGCATTGAAGCCCTGCAAGCTGAGCTCAGTGAACGTAACGCCGTAAAGGCGCAGGAACTGGACTCGCTGACCGCAGTCTTCAACCATCTTTCCCCTGATGCGAGTATACCCGATGATCATTCTACGCTCATTGCGCAACTTGAAGACCTAGCGATTCGATCACTCAATCAACAGAAAGAGCTCCAGCAAGCCGTGGCGATGGCCAAGTCAGACAACGAGAATGCTCATGCTAGGATCGAGGAGCAAGAACGCAACTTCAACACCAAGCTAGCCGAACAGGAGAAAGACGTTACAGCTGTCCGTGAAGAGCTTGACGTAGAGAAAGCACGCGTCGCTTCTATCACTGCAGAACTTGAGGAGGAACGGAGCCATCTACACAGCCTCCGTGCGAAGTTTGCTGAAGGCGAGACAGGTTCCGAAGCTCTACAAAAGCGCATCGAGGAAGAAGAAGACAAGGTTGGTCGTCTTCAAACCGAGCTGGCGGAGAAGAATTCGCATGCCAACAGCCTCGATGTCGAGCTTATGCGGGTAGAGAAGAAACTGCGCAAGCTTGAGGAGGCCGATTCGTCCCGCCACCACCAACGTATGCATCGTGCAAAAGACCTCAGTCAACGTCTATACACGCTGCATGAGCGCCTTATCCGTCTAGTTGAGGCACTTGGATTTGTCATCACCCATGAAAACGGCGAGATGGTCCTTCAACGAGCGTCTAGGCTTGGTAGTAGCACTATCATGACGGACACCAGTGCAGGACTTAGTCGAAGTATCACCACGCCCTCGCCTACTCCTCTGAAACGCTTCTTAGAAGACGTTGGAGACCTCCACTTCCTTCAATGGACTGAAGCTACGAGCTCAGAGGAAGAAGACCAGCGGTACCAGGAGCTTATTGAAAAGCTCGAGCTCTTCAACACCGAAACCTTTAGCGACGCTGTTGCAAAACGGATGCGCGACATGGAGCATACGGCACGAAAGTGGCAGAAAGAAGCACGAGCATATCGAGACAAAGCCCATCGCTTCCAAGCCGACTCACACGACAAGATCGCTTATCGTTCGTTCAAGGAAGGTGACCTTGCACTATTCTTGCCGACCCGTAACAATGCGCATCGACCTTGGGCTGCCTTTAATGTTGGAGCACCGCACTTCTTCCTTCGCGAGCAAGACACGCATCGACTGGGTGGAAAAGAGTGGCTTGTGGCGCGTATATCAAAAGTGGAAGAGCGTGTTGTCGACCTCTCCAAGACACTGGATGGTGCACCTCGAGCATCATTAGACGGTCGTTCTATCGCTTCGAGCAATGCCGTTTCGTTCGAAGACGACAATCCTTTCGAGCTATCCGATGGACTACGATGGTACCTATTGGAGGCGACAGAAGAGAAGGCGATGGCACCTGGTACTCCAGGTATCAAAGGTGCGGTTACCGTGAAGAGTAGTCTAGAGACCGGACAAGGCGAGATGCAGAAAGCAAAGAAGAAGTCCTCCATGGACCCAGCGACTCAGCTTGGAAAGTCACTCGACAGTCGCCGCAGTAGCGGAACTAGCAGAAAGAGCGCACCATTAGTTGGCCATCATAACTCAACGGAAGCGCTTTCCCCAGCTGAACATCCCAAATCAAATCCCAACTCCGCCACGGCAACACGGGGCGCGAGTCCAGCTGGTGCACATGGCCCCAGCCATCTGAGGGAGACGTCGACGAACGGTGGGGACAAATCAATGGACGATGGAAATGGAGGCAATGTGCGCGACCTGCTCTGGGGACCTTAGGTTTTCGCTTCCTGTAAATCTAAGCTCCCCTAATAATGACCTTTGCCAACCTCACTGACATCACAACAGTCATCCATCGCCCAGCTTCAGACACTACGCAAGACCTCCGTGTCAGGCCCAGCCAATCCACGATCGGACACATCTCCAGCCAAGACCAGATTAGGAAGTCTAGCCGATCTGAGGAGTCCTCTTGTTGACTCTCGCAAGTCGCCGCTCGCGAGGAAAGGAAGTATATGGGATAGCTTCTTTCAGTACGATATTGAGTACCAGGGCAAAGCATCGAAGAAGTAGACTTCGTTTATAGGGAGTCGGAGCGATTCTTGGGTACACCATTCTCACGCATTCACCATCGGCTTACCTGGGCATAACGGACGGCGTTCACTGCTACATTACAGGGGACCTTAGGTATAGAAAGCAATCCAAGGGCGAAAATGGGGTAGCTTCGCTGAGGTATAGTTCAATAGTACAACATAAATATTACTGATATCGCGTCATGATACTGCTCCAAGGAAGCTGAGCACTGAATGTACGTCATAGCACCTTGAGGTCTTTCTCCATCCTCCATCGCGTGTTTCGCCAAGATGCTCCAGCGCCCCATATTTTCCGGATCTCGGCTAAGGCGTTCTCCCATGGTGTAACTGGAACAGCAACGTTATGTAGATCCTGCGTACATTAACCTTGAACGAATAGCCACGCTCGATTCTGTTTGGTTGGCTCGCATGTTCCTGTCTGCAAGCGATGCTGTGTTCCTGGTTCAGTGGACGACTTGGGAATATAGGTTTATTTGCCAAGATCACTATTGTGGGAAGACGATGTGCTACATGGGACGCCTGACATCTGAAAGCAAGGCGAGTGTGATGTAATGTTTTGAAAATGGGGGCGTTGGATGACTCTGGCACGGTGGTATTAAAGAAATAAGCCACGACGACCGCTAATTCCCTACTGTTGGAATACCAAACATTTCCTCCCCTAACGATCCTCCATTATGGCTACTCTTATCAAACGCTCACTCCTGGCTTCAGTACTAGCTACAACATGCTTCACACAAAATACATCCGAATCAGGATCTCAGTCCTTGACATGTGACGACGTCTCCGAAAGCCTCGCATACAATGCTTCCGTCATCCAAAATACGACGGCCCTGAACATCGTCTGGCTGGGAGCCAACGAACACGTAATGATTACCGAAGACGACCGTACCACTTGGCAGATCTCGTCCTACATTGGGCCTGGATATAACGGTGGTATGGCGGAGTACGGTGAAAACGACACTCAAGCTGTTCTATGGCTTGAAACTGGAGATTCGAATATGGAGCGTTTGGGCGATCTAATGGGCTTGTGCCACAACTATGTTCCGTTGCAGAACCGCACCACTGGAAATTTGACGTGGAGTAGAGAGGTATTGGAGAGGGCGCAAGACGATGATGGGGATTGCAGGACGATGTTGGGAACAGAGTGCGTAGAGGCGCTCCAATCGTGGTATCAAAACCAAGGACAGTCTATATGGACTACTGGCCAGTCTCCGGCCTGCTCCTCTATTGAGCATGCCATACCCTCCGAGTGTGAGGGTATGCTGTCTGAGGCTGTGACAATGGGTAAGTTCTAGGTCTGTGGTAATGAAGAAGCGCAGATCAAGCTAACCACACTCATAGACGTTGTCCGTCTCAACACTTCTGCTGAAGACCGCATCTGGAAATGGGACCAGGCCATTAACATAACCTCGTTCTCGGACAATGTCACCGTGCCTACTTGCGGCGACCGGAACCTTAGCAGCAGCTGGGGCAACAGGATCTATCAAACGACCGACTACGACGTGGCGTTCAACTTCCCCATTGTAGATATCATGACTTTTTACCCTACAGTACCCCTCACCAGTAGATTTCTTGGCCGGGAAGGCCATGCAAAGGTTGTGTGTCTAAAGCCTGAAAATGTGCAGGAGGGAAGTCGGGCTCCGAGGACGGCGAAAGAGGTGCTTGATGAGAACTACGGTCCACAGGATAATGAGTCCGGTGCCGAGAGAGCCTTTGGATGGGGCGGTAAGGCTGCGCTGGCGTCGGCGGCTGGTATAGTGGTAGGAGTCTGGTTAGGACTGTGAAGTAATGCTGTTTAGTTAATGAACTGTTCGTACACGATTTGTTCACACCAAAAGCCCGATAGGCGCCTATACGTACGTATCCATCAGTAAGCCATTGGGAAACCCTTGGCTATACTCAAGGCTCCGGATAGCATCGGAAGGATCGGGATCGGTGTTGATGTCAAACTGTGGCGCCTCGCGCAGGCAAGCTTCCAGACACAGACTGCTCCCCCAATGCTCGCCCACATTCACCGGACACACCGCAGTGAAAGAGAGCAATGCCAAGGCGTAGCCAAGTGGTAAGCTTACTTCTTGCGGGGTGGGGCAGGACGTAGAGTGACTTGACAACTGCGTTACTGCCGAATGCCCTTGTCCATAGTGAAAGAAGTAACCATTCGGCTACAGAGTGTAGCTTGCTGGTTATGTGACGAAATGTCATCCATGTAGCGGCACTGTTGTCCAAATCGCCAGCGCTAGCTGTATACATTAGTAGAAACACGTTGCACTCGATGCAACTAGAAACTGTGAGTACCTCTTCGCTGTAATCAAGTTATAGAGGTTTGCTAGCACAACGATTACTGATTGCTGTACCTGATAGCTTTGTAGGGCGCGGTGTGACGTAGGAGAGAAGAAAAGGTCTAGGTAGTGGAAATGTATCTCAACTTGCGGATATTGCATCGCCCATATATCGCGGGTATCGAGGATTTCCAAATATCTAGGCTGAAGATTATTTGAAGCCTAGGCCATCATTGCTTACATGTGCGTCTCCCGTTCCTCATAGAGAGCGGGTCAGGACGCAAGGAGGATCATGTCTTCGTCGTCATGCTCAAAATGCATGAGATCCTTTGCAGCAATGAGAACCACCGTTCGAAACCGGCATTAAGATTGTAACAGGAAGAGCATTGACTTCACGCTCGATCACGGTCTGACTCGAAAGTCACACTGTCTGTGTCGCGTGGCTTGTGTATCTGTGCTGGCACCTGTGACATGTATGCCGGAACCGCTAGTGGGATCGCCGGCACCACGGAATAGTCCTTGGAGCTTGGGGTGGTGTAATAACCACAGGTTTGGAACCGTCATTGTCTTGCTGGGCCTGTGAAGGTTACACGATAGTCTAGGCAGACACAGTTTGTCAAGCACTCTCGATAGGTCAAGAAATGCCTCATAACTGAGTAGGCACTTGGCTAGGCAGCATATATAGCGCATTTGAAGTAGCCTGTTTATGGGCTTGCAACTTGGAGTAGCATGCCGCGTGATGCTGGACGAATGTTGGAGTTGGTCATGAAGCGGGGTCGATATGTGAACGAAGATCAAATCTAAGCCAAGGCGGGGCCAAGTTATTTAGTTTTCGCCAAGGAGCGTGAGAGACGCGTGAGAGGAGCGGGGCGAATCGCAGGCGTTGCGAGGCGAGCTGATGCATGAAGGCGTTGAGGCTGTGCAGGTGGGCCGATTACGATTAGGGCGCTCCTGTCATGGGTCCTGACACACTGACAATTTAGCTTTGATCTGGCGTTTCTGTGGTTTCCCGACCCCTTGGGCGGCACGCTCATTCAGAATTTCAGAGTAATATGGGTGCCTGAATTATCCGGGTAGTTAAACTTTTCGCAGGCCCGTGAGCATGAGGGTACATGAAGGGGTGAGGATCAACGACAGGGCTGCAACGGCTATCCTGCTGCATACGGGAGTTGTCTGACTGATCGCACTATCGGCAGGCTTGCAACTATGCACCTTGGACATGGATACCGCTGTGTAGCCTGTGATAAAGCATGTGTTACCGGAATGTTGCATGTGTAGCCGTGTTTCTAGTCAATCAAAATGCACGCGAACGGCATCCTAGCATGGGACCATTGTTGACGTCTGTGTTACACACCGTGGGCAGAATCCGAGATAAGTGCCGTGTACTTTGGGGTGGTTGCTTCTTCCCATAAACAGCTGATTTGAGGGTGTAGGGTGGGAGGGAGCTGCGTTTAGCCAAGGCGAAGCGAGAAGGTTTGATCTCGAGGCACGGTGATGGACTTGACTCTTGGTTTGTGATCTGGTGATGGCGGATGAAAAGTAGCAGCGGAAAGTGGAGCATGTCAAAGGCCACGAGGCATGACTTCATCCGAAGTACATTCCGGCCATGCTCACCCGCAGGCGCTGACCTGGGTTTCAATATGTTCCGCTCGCTACCGGGCCGATGAGTGTACAACAGGCGTCGAATGTGGAAGCCAGGAGATGGGTTTTGGCAAAATAGCAACGCCCCTTGTCACAACGCTGATTACCAGAGTGTCTGAGCGCTGTCGTGTCAGGGCAGTTTTCTATGATTGTCGCACGCGTGGGACAGGGAGCTAGTGCCAATAGAACTTGCACATTTCCACATGCCGTCTGCCAAAGGCTTTAGAAGGGTCTTTGATGGCGAACGGAGCACATTGTTATCTGAGAGCGGTGTGAAGAGATGGCACACGAATCCAGCGTTCCGGCACGGATCTGCTTGTAACGCCGTTAGTGCAAGAGCCCGCGCTTCTGTCCCGGCGCCGCGGCGGGCATGAAGGAGTCGCCTTGTTTGAATCACGGGCGTTGCTAGGCTTGGGCACACCTGGAGAGTCCTGGACAATCAATTCAACGCTAGAACCTCGCACCCCTGTCCGCCCAACACAGTGGTCCGTCGTGTTAAATACCATAATAGTCGCCCTCCCAGTACCGTTTATTCATAAACGCCAGCTGGGTAAGACTGACTTCACCATTGTTCTGCAGCAACTTTCCTGACTCATCGCCCAATCGCCTCGTCCGTCCGCTTTCTTGCTTGCTATAGTAAGCCAACCTTACCAAGCCGCCGGCACCGAAGACCCATCGTCATTCCACCAAGTTCCGAAGCTTGGGCTTGTCTAACACCGTCCTTTTCGCCGTTCGTGCCTCCCGTGTTGCACTTGTCCGCTCTAAATTCCGCCGCACTTATCGTTCCCCGCGTATCACACGCTAAGGAAGCAGGTAAGGGGTGATCGACCACGCGCGTTCCAATCAGCTCCCACACTTTGGCACACGGCATCCTACACTGTCAATCTCCACTTCACGGTCCTCCTGCACTTAAAACATCTGGCCCGCCGCTTGCTTGCAAAGTAATTGCAACCGCATTTTCCACCCACGCCCGCACTTTACCACTACCACCTTTCCAATAGTGGCCGCTAGTGTCTACCCCAGATTGCCACCCGTCTTGATCTTGTGACAGCATCCCGCACATCACGTCCAAGACCGACACCACGTCTTCCACCACGACGTCGCCATCAGCCAAAACGTTCTCACACACCTTGCCCCGCAAACGAATCTACCTCGATATTACTTGAACACAACGCTGCAATGTGCGTCGCCGAACTCTGCGTCACGGTTCTTCCGTGCCAGCACCGCTGGTACCACCTTGTTCGCCCATGCAGCCCATCCAGCAACCTCTCCACATGCGGAAAGAAGCTAGGGATCTCGGGATGGGAAGTCAAGTGCGATCACTGCCCTTACTGCCATGGCCACGTCTCCGAGTTTGAGTACAAGCTCATCGGCGATGGACCAGCACCGCCAGTCGGTTCTCTCTCAGGACTTGCGCGCGCACACTCGACCTCTTTGAACGCAGCCCGTCGGGACATCCGTCTCGACAACATCACCCGAACCGACAGCGCTACTAGCGTAGGCAGCAAGAGCAGCTTGGTCACTGCGGCCTCTGAGAAGAACCGCGCAATGAACTCTCGACTTGACGCCTACTTCTTCCCATCAGCTGAGCAACCGTACCCCGCTGTACGAGAAGATGATGCCGTGAGTAACAGCGCTACCAGCCCGAGCGACACATCGAGCAACGACCGCGCAAGCATGCGACATCCATCCATCTCTATGCCGGCTGAACCTTACAAAGCCAACATGCTTTCGCGTGTCCGGCAGCGCACCAAGCGCATCTCCACCATCTTCAGATGATCAGACAGTTGACACTGTGCTTTGCTTGGCCACGTCAACTACACAGCCCACTTCTCAGCTCTTGGTCGTTCGCATAGCGTTGGAGTCTAGACTGTGGCTGAAATGAGGAGTCGCTTCCCCATCGGATCCACTTAGCCACGTTCCTCGGCCCGGACAGCATCACCATGCTACAATCACATGCACATGCACTCCGCCGACAGCAGGCCACCAGCCACACCAGTCTCGTTTCGAGTCAACCCTCTCAACTCCTCACGACTACCAACACTCCTCTTTTCATTTCTTGTATCTGCTTATCCTCGGTTTCGCCTAGCGCGCTTTGGCCTACTTCTCTCATCTCACTTGTACTTCGGATACCCACACTGCTCTTGCTTTCTGCGCGCGCAAATACATGCCCCGGCGACGGGTACATTTGCGCACTCATTTCGGCCGCGGCGTTCTCACGTAAAAAAGGACAGGGAGTACTTCAGGCGAACACAAAGAGGGCAAGGGCAACCTGCGTTTACTTCGGCATCTGTTCTGATTCATTAAGATTTCTTGGCGTTGGGCTGCCACGCAGCGACAGCGCAAAACGTTGGTGCGTCAACAGCACAGGCGCATCCTCTTTTTCTTGCTCGCTTGTTGCTATGACTTATGAATGACTCAAGGGAGTACGTGTTCTAGAAGCTAGTTTGTTACAAATTTTATATATTTACAAACAATTACGTTTGCGTTGCGCATTTACTCGTTCCCAGTGTTCCAAGCATTCCAAGGTTCCATCTGCTCATTGTGAAAAAGCCATATGCCACACTTGTGCATAACGGTACGAATCTGTGCCACACTTCCGTGCCACACTTCCGCTCAGATGCAGGTGCTGGAAAACAAAAGGTACTCCGCACAGTAGTCTAGACTCTGTGTCTTTGGTACCAACGCGTCACCGCTGCTTCGAAGCCACGCTATTATCGATATCCACCCGCACATGCGGGCATGCACACTAGGTGCATCATGACACCCTTTCACTCACCGCCAAGCTATGCAAGTGTATACTGATACACCGCATATTCCGCTCCGCCCGGATAGCCGTTTTCTCCCAAGCGAGCATGGTAAAAAAAAAATGGACGCCTGATTCTTGTGGCCAATCTTTTTTACCGTCGGTAAAGGATGCGTTTCTCACCGAGTAAGGTGCTCGACACCCTGGAAGCTTTGTTAAGATGCGCATGGGTAATTTCCCAAAGTTTCTTCTTGGGCCAAAATCTGGGTTGCGCCACAAGTAACGTCTTGCAGATCTCCAGATGTCGGAGAACTCCATAAACTGTAAAGAGTGTGAAGGGAGATAAACTTACCCAAGAAAAGAGGAACATCAAGCATACCAAGCTTACGATCAGCATGCTTGACTTTTTCGTGATGCAGGGCGATCGATGGTTTGCCTGCTGAGCTGCATCATCATGCTTTGTAGATCTGTTACTCACAGCAGTACTTGCTGTCTTTCTGGAGGATGCCGCTTCGATATCTGGTACACTTGGTAATCCTGTAACTTCCCCTCTCGCCGAACACCTATGTCGCACATGTCAGTCAGAATTGGGCTGTGACAGTCAGCAGAGACGAAGCGATATCGCTAAAGAGCCCTCCTACCACACGTCTAATCCGTTGCAACGGCAATACAGACTGCACGAGGATTAACAGACATACGTCTATTGCACACACACACACACACAGGGTCAATGTGATAGCCGGCACGTCAACGTCACACATTAACAAGCCTTCAGCATCACAACATAAGCTTCGCACCAGTGTTTCGAAACAAGTAATTTCGCAGATAAAGCAATTGAGGCCGAGAGATCGTCTCAAATGGAAAGTTCCATCAATGCACATCATTCTCGCCGAGTGAATGGTTTACAGCAGGGGATGATGTCAGCTGAGCCCTAATCGGCTGGTAAACAAAGTTCGGCATCAACGGGGACATGACCGTCATAACGCTCGGTGCGACGGAGAACCGCAGGTGATTAAACACAGCGATCGCAACATATCGCTGGAAGGATGGGTTGCTAGTGTAATCCGGTGTGGTTTGCGATATTGGGACGGTGAGTCTAGTGTTGAGTGTGCAGTCGCTATGGGCAGGAAAGCTTCCTGGTAGCAACAGGGTTACATTGAACTCTTAGTGTACATCAGTCTTCTCCTACATCAACTGCTTAGTGAAGTAACCGAAGCACCTTGACCAGGTCCGCTGTGACACCCATGGCAGTGACTTCGCCGCCGGCACCCGCTCCCTGGATGATGAGTGGGTTGTCGCCGTATCGCTTCGTGTAGAATGCGATGATGTTGTCGCTTCCTTTGAGTGCTGCAATCGGATGGCTTGTGTTGAACTTCTCCAAGCCGACCTTGACCTTGTTGTTTGGCACGTCCACGCTTCCTACAAAGCGGATGACTTTGCCCTCCTTCTCTGCCTCGGCCTTCAGCTTTTCCATTTGGTCGTCGTACTGTGGGAGCTTCTCAAGGAACTCGTCGCCGGACGAGCAGGACTCGAGCTCTTTGGGAATGAGAGACTGTACGGGGAAGGAAGTTGGTGATTCGACCTTCAGGCCAGCGAGACGAGCGAGGATGGTGAGTTTGCGGGCGACGTCTAAACCGTTCAAATCGTCACGGGCGTCGGGTTCTGTGTAACCCTTTTCTTTGGCTGATGTGACTTCGGCTGAGAACTTTCCGCCTCCGCCACCGAGAGGCTGGAAGGAGTTGAAGAGGAAACTCATGGTTCCGCTGAAAACACCCTCAATCTTTGTGACTTCGTCTCCAGTCTCGACCAGATCCTTCAGTGTGGAGATGACAGGTAGTCCTGCGCCGACTGATGACTCGTGGAAGACGTAGCCGCCAGCACCATTTCCGTTGCTCGCAGCGTCGAAGATCTGCGTCCACAGCCCATAGCTGCCAGAGAAAGCCTTCTTGTTTGGTGTTACAATGCTAATACCCTTCTTGAGGAAATTGGGGTAACTGTCGGCAACATCCTGGTTGCTGGTATTATCCACCAATACCACCTTACCAGGCGCTTTCTGTAGGTATTCGCAGAGTTGAGGGAGAGGCAATGTGGGATTGGAGGTGTTCTGAAGCTCAGACTCCCAGTTGGAGAGGGATTTGTAGTCGGCGTGGTAGACAGCTTTCTTGGAGGTGCTGAGCCAGATGAGGGATAGATAGTAGGGTGACGAGGGTGACTGGGAGAGGCGTTTGGAGAGGGCGGACAGTTGGGAGAGGAAGGCTTTGCCCACGCCACCAGCACCTGTAGTTCTTAGTCTTGCATATGCGAATAAGGGGACTGTTGCGCGTACCGATAACGGCGATGAATACTTGACGAGGCAGAGGCATGCTTGTGTTGGTGTGGTCAATTGGATATATCAGTTTTTTTTACTGAGGTCGTCAAGTTTGTGTAAACTTTGGGAAGACGAGGAGAGGATATTCAGACTTGAAAGGAGAAAGACGGGTTGACTTCTGCGGAACCGCCAATTCGCACAGCTTCGCCGTGGGGTCAAGAAAACAATTGGTGGGGTAGCTCAGTGTGACGCAACAAGCTCAGAGCTCCGACGCCGACATCGCCTCGCCGCGTCTCAGCCCTACGCGCGCTGCACTACGCGACCGGGACCAGCCAAACCCACTTTCACCTTCAACCCCCACCATGTCCTCCAAAGACGCGCATCTATACGGCGCTCGACCGAAAGGGCGTGCAAAGGCGAAGGAAATCTCCAGCTCCAGCAGCCTCGCCTTCTCCTCGACCCTCTCCAACCTCATCAAGAACTCTTCCACCGAGTCGAACAAGCCCACCGCAGGCCGCGCACGACCGCAGAAGGAGGACATCTTCAAGATTCACAACAAGAATGTCAAAAAGCGCGCACTGAAGGATCTGGAAGATACCGATTTCACACAGAAGCATCGCGGGCGGACGACCGAGGAGAAAGGCGAAGATGAAGTCGCGTGGAAGCGCACAAAGCGGCGCATGGAAGAGAAAGCACGTTTGTACGACGCCTTGAAGCGTGGCGACGTAGAAGACATTGACGACAGATACGGCGTCGACTTTGACCGTAAATGGGCTGAGCAGCAAGAAAAGGGCGAGGCAGAACACACTACATCGTCAGAATCAGAAGAGGACGAAGAGGACGAACTCGTAGAATACACGGACGAGTTCGGGCGCACACGAAAGGGCACGCGTGCAGAAGCTGCTCGCGAAGAGCGTCGAAAGCGTACTCTTGCAGCCGACGAACCCGACCGCTTCACCGCACGACCCAACATGCCAACCAACATAATCTTCGGCGACACCGTACAGACGCACGCCTTCAACCCCGATGAGACTATCGCCCAGCAAATGGCCGATCTAGCCGCCAAGCGCGACAAGGAACTCACACCGCCACCTGAGGTACACTTTGACGGCAGAGCCGAGGTAAGGCAACGCGGAATGGGCTTCTTCCATTTCTCCACGGATGAGGAGGAACGACAAGAGCAGATGAGCCGGATTGAGAAGGAAAGGGAAGAGACGGAACGCGTGAGGCGAGAACGCAAAGAGGCTGTCGAAAAGAGGAAGGCCATGGTTAGAGATAAGAAGAGGGCTATACAGGAGAAGAGAAGCAAAGGACAGGCAGAAAGGTTCCTAGAAGAACTGGGCCAAGAGCTGTTTAAAGATGGAGAGGGTGATACGGAACCCAAGTCCAATATCGCAGATGAGGAGAAGGAAGCCACATGATTCGACGTCTTGCTATCTAACTTTCCATACGATGATACCCCAATACGAAGCATATCTCCCTGTTCGACTACACCTTTCAAGGCGAGCTTATGTAACGCTATTATTCAACAACCCGCTATCACCACTTGTCGCCTTGCCGATCATAGTAAGGTGTAGCAAAAAAAGGTATGTTATGATCGTTGGCAAAAACATACAACAGCGGGGATTCGCTAGTGGTCACCCACCTAACTACTAATCCGCCGGTACACTGCTTGTATATGGCTGAGCGGACGGGAAGCCTAATTTTCAGTGTCCTATGGTCGTATGTGACATAAAGGACTAATTGCACCATTATATACATATCGTGAATCGAGTCGCACTTGACCAACGATCTACAAATCCCCTCACCAACTCATCCGCAGGTAGTAGTTCGACCAATTTGCCTCTGTATCCGCCTCGCTCTACTTCTCTATACCTCTTACAACACTATTCTAGTTAACCTGCCATTTCCCCTCTTCAGCTATCTTAACCTATTTCCTTAGCACACACCTTAGCTATACATCCTGCGCTATAATAAAGTAGTCAAATCCTAGCTAGTACAGTTCTGTGCTTTTTAGTTCTGTATTAATCGCACTTTTATATCCTACCCTTCCTACGTCCTCGCTAATTAGTGCTCTGTTGCTTATTTAAGCGAATGCGTTAAGGCTAAGGGTGAATAGAAGGACAATCTTACTACTATCTTCGAACAGATGAGTGCTATAGGAATTAGTTTCTGTAAGATAGAGACCGGCCGGGTAGGATGCGGGACCTAACAGCTGGGATCTAGAATAGTAACCTTACGTTTGCTGTAGTATCTAGGTCCAATGGTGATATTTGATTATATCAAGGCCGTAGTCCTTCGTCCCAAGCCACGAACGTCTGGTGTTGATAGTCAGGCATACATTTCACCTTTTCCGGCGGTGAAGTCTCCCAGTTGATTTTGATATCATCCCCTTCGTTCGCAACATGCTTAGACGGGTATCCTTTCAGAGCCTTGATCTTCTTTGCGGCCTCGTCACTATATTCTACGTTGACGCTCGGAACTACGGCAATCTTGCCGTAACCATTGAACCACATGTCCTTGGCGAACAACTTCGGCTCGCCTTGAAAACATTCACCCTCCTTGCGAGCCCGGAATCTGATCTTCTTCTCCATGAGAGGCTTCGCGGTGAAGGCTGTCACACCATTCCAGCACGCAAAGACCTGGAAAGGTTTTGAATTAGACCAGCGCGCATGGGCTTTTTGATCGTTCCAGAAAAGATTCCAAGCAGAGTCCCAGCTTCCGTCTTCGGGAATGTTGAAGAACAGATCGCCTGTCATGCCACGCGCGATCCAGACATCGTAAAACGTTGGATTGTCGCCAACGTATGTCCAGTCCATAGCACATGTTTGATCCGCCCCTTGGAACTCGCGTTGATGGATTAACTCTAGGAGATCTTCCATACATAGAGCCACGTCGTTGGAGAATATCACTGTAGTATCCTCGTCGTACTGTTCTGGATGTGCGATAAGATCCTTTAGGGCCAGATTGCGGAGCTTTGCAAGACCTTCGATGCGATCTTTACCTTTGGCCATCGGGTTGATATCGCTCGACTGGAAGTAGTACCTGATTCCTAGAAGCTGCATGCTTGCGCGAAGCTGATCGAGTACTTCGAAGGTGCCATCATTTGATCTTCCTTCGACTACGGAAAGTACGCAGTTCTGTGGCCCAAGGAAGTACATGGTTTCTACAATAGAACCAATCAACCGCGGAAGGAGATGAACACATTGATGAAGATCAAGGGCAAAGAAGTATTTAGGATGTTGCGCGTGTTGAAGTGATCCAGATGAATTTCCTAGATAAGCATATCGATCGAGATCTGGCTGTGGGCCTAAATGTAGGTGTACAAAGTCAGTATATGTCTCACATGTGGTTCTTACATAGAAGTTACGTACATTCAAGACGCGGAAAGGTCGAATCCGATGGGTTCAGGATGGCGTGAATGTATGGTGGCGTTTGTGCGATAAGAGTCACATTGCCTTTCTCTGATGGAGTGACTGGCGGAGCAGCTGCAGGCACGTCACTCGGCTTCGATCCTAATCATCAACTTCAGAATACATCCAACTAATACAACGGGAAGTAGAGGCTACACACCTGTTGAGGATGGACTGAGTATTCCAGTGACGATGGGCTTGATTTGCGATAAACTATAATCGTAATGGAAGAACCCAAACCCAGCTATAAGTAGGAAGACAACAGCGAGCAGCGCGATCGCCTGGAACAGAGATCGCATGCTCCTTGGTGGCGCCATTAGAAAGGAGCGATGACAGGGAAAGAACAGAAAGTAAAGCAGAAGATCCCAGATGGATGAAATATTTTTTGAAGGATGGTACCTACATGCTGCAAGTCATAGGTAAACGAGCATAAACAGGCGCGACTGCGCCGCTTCCTGCAGCCTGCCCTGGTGGATGATTGAGGCAGGTTCGCACGCACCGTTCCGCGGGACACGGTAGCCAATCACGCAGGTTACATATCACCTAAGCGCCCAACCAACGCGCACAAAATAGCTACTTCACACGATAAAGCCGCTGGATAGCATATCACACTGCTAACTAATACAGGAATCAACGCAGAAAGCTGATTGTACCTCTTCGCGCGTCTAGATGCCCATTGTGCCTGAGAGGCGTTGCTCCTTTCTCTCTGGAGTCGCCTCAGGTTCCCACGAGCATGTTACGATAACCTGTAATTACCGCCCCATGAAACTGTGGCTGCATATAAGCAGTACATACCATAGCCAGGATCAGGCTCCTACCTACAGCGAATATGCGCCACGCTCAGGAGTTGCCATAAACTGCATGTATTTTGGTGTCGCAGCTACATAGGTACTCCCGTCTTTTGCTTCTAGTCTTTAACTGCTCAACGCGTCTTCATCCGTTTCAGCACTCGTTCAAAGAATGTTCAATTTCTTAGTCTTGCTTTTGATCACTTGGAGCTCTTTGGAGCTGGTCTCCTCAAGTCCTGCCACGGTTCGCAGCCGGTTCGCACCAGTATCGCCGCATGCGACACAGCCAGCAGCTCATATTCACGAACGGCTCCGTGAACGGCAAGCCTTCGCACCTATCACTACCTGTGGATACATCGATGGCAATCCTCAGAGTCCTCGAACAGCCGACCCTGGCTACGGATGTCGTGTGGATACCGCAAATGGTTTATGGGGATTTTGTCCAACGAGCGTTATATCTGCCAAAGACTGTGGTTTAGCTGGCTTATGCGTTGACAACCATTCCTGCACGACGGGGTGTGGAAGACTTCTTGATCGGGCGGACATCACTACATTTACATGGTTGGTTGCTCCGTTGCTTCCCGAATAGCGGAAAGTACTCTTCTAACTAGATAGCGATTCCAAACAATTTTGTTCTACAGCACTCTTAATCAACGGCCCTGACCAATCATTCGAGTACATTGCCTGCGGAGAAACGGCGGCTGTCGACAGTCTTTTCGCAGTTCCGAATACCGTAAAGGCAACGACAACATCCGCTTCCAGTACTGAAAGCAGCGCTTCTTTGGCTACTTCAAACCCACCACCAGCAACGACAGCTACGCAAAGCTCAACCCTCCTGGTATCAAACGGCAGTATCCTTCCATCATCAATATCTAGCTCGACACCTGCGCCTTCCGAACAGAAGTCAACAAATATTGGGCCCATAGTGGGCGGAGTCATCGGAGGGCTTACAGTGATATGTTTAACCATTCTCGGTATCTTACTCATTCGAAGGAAGCGTGGCACTGCGGAGAAGGTGGCACAGTCCCCAGGGTACACATATAATCGCTCGAGCGACTTCGCAGAACTGAGTACGGACAGCTCAACACACATGCAGAAGGGATACCATTGGGATAGCAATCATGGACCAGTTGAGATGTATGGGCATCATGTAAACATGGAACCTGTCGAGCTTCCAGGGAAGATACAATCTGCACATCCCTGATAGAGACCAAAGGAAGGGCTCAAGAGAGGGCGGTTGAGCGAGCTGTGGTGTGGTAACAACATTGGATATTGAGGTGGAACTTTTAATTCGACACAGATCTAATACGAACAACGCGACCTCCAAGATCTGCTCGAGAAAATTAATAATATCGTTTCAAAATCGCCGCTAGCATTGCATCAATGATTATCGCCGTCGCACCGCCAGAGTAAGCAAGTCTCTACGCTAGGAGCCATGACGTACTATCTTCGGTTATATGTGCTTCCAAGCTCTGGAGGTTATTTCCAAACTCAAACAGTCTTCTCCAAAACGTCACCACTCAGCCCGCAAAATCACCTGGAACACTGCACTTGGCCAGGCATTCCGCGATGCTAAATACCCTGTCTTGACCCACCAAAAGGTCACGTTTGCCTCTTCTTCACTTCCCTAGTGTATCTGGCCGCGCACCTATGTCGTCTCTCAGTACCAGCCGATCGAAGATCTTGAGCCATTCGAGCGTGATGCTGCTGGAGATTACTACCCGGTCCGGGTTGGTGATAAGTTTTGTTCGTCTCGTTGTCCCATTGTACACAAACTAGGCCACGGAGCTTCTGCAACTATATGGCTAGAGTATGACAAACGTCTAACAAGGTGTGTTGCAATCAAGTTCTGTATATATCCTTGAGCGACTTTAGGGGATCCTCCCAGCCAGAAATGTAGGTAAGACAATCTTATTGTACTCCCTTAATGTCAAAATCTGCATGCCCGAGGGTAGATTAAAAAAGTATTTGCATGTGGTAAAAAATGCCTGCATATTCGGCTTGCTATACAATATCGTAGTTGCATAGTTTATCAGTCTCTCTCGGACCGTGTCACGCTTCTGCATGTCTGACATGTACCACTCTTCAACTTTGCAAACTCCTCTGGATGATTGGTAATGAATGCGAGTCTCTGAATTGTCTTGCCGTCGTCGTGGTACTCCATTACTGCCGCCAGACGTCCGGCATCACATCGCTTCGCTCCAGGCAGATATGCCTTCTAGAACTTCTTCTTTGGCTCTTCCAAGTAGTCAACATAGTCCTTGTAGGCTTTCCGCTCCACAACAAGAAGTACGTGCGCAGTGTATCTACTCAGACATATATGGGTGAATGCCTGCTAATATAATCGTAAAAGTTTAGGGACAGTGTCAAAGGCATCATCCCTATCATAGTCTTCCTGTCCAATCGCCTCGGAAAGACATCCATCAGGAACATAACCGTCGTCCGAACGTTGGCCATATTAAAGCCGAGTTCGACGAGCAGACTTGACATACTCTCGTCAGACATGTAATTCGCAGTAGAATATGATAGATGCACCGAGCTTGTTGGATCGAACGTGGGGTAAGAGTAAATGACCATCAAAGGATCCTCAAACGACCCCATAGGCTTGACGAAATAGTCAGGTCTCATGTCCAGTCCAACCGGCAGGATATCAGGAAGTGACACATCCACCTCCCCTTGCATTGCTTCTTTCCGTAGAGCGTTCATGGCAGGGTTCGTGGTTGCGCATGTTGTTGGTGCGTCGGATACCATCGGGAGGTATAGAGGCGGGACAGACCTTGTATGTGTCTGTATAGAGTGGAGGAAAGCTGAGATCTCTGGAGACGAAGGGAATAGCGCGGGAATGTGCTGAGTGACAAGCTGTAGGAGGGAACTGTTCGTGACCCTGCGAAGATTACTCTGGATGGAAAGGGTCTTACCATAGCCTGCTCAATGTGACTAGCCCAGCAGCTTAAGTAGTGGGGCTGGAGGTGTTCTCAGGTCGACGAAGTCGACCCCACAATCACCTCTTGGAGATATTTTAGTGAAAACATGGTGCAGTAAGGTATAATATGCGAACTGGAGATACATATCTCCCATTCACAAACACTCTAGTATCTACAAAACCACCGTCTTCGCATCTCGAGCAAAAGCAGACTCGCTAAATTTGACAAGATAAAAACAACGCCTGCAAAATGCAAAGTTACTCCCACCCTTCGTCACAGCATGCCAAAACCTTTTTTCGAAAACCGCCCAGAAAAAAGGTTTCCTACTAAGGCCAGGCTAGCACCTGGGTCTAAAAAAGTCATTTGAACATGGACACGGCAAGCTCCGGTCCTCCTGAAAGGGGGTAATCGTTGAAGAAGCGAAAGGACATATGGTAGCAAATGGAATCTTCGTGACGTAAAATGATGCAATACAGACAAAGAAAAGGTTCCTCCGAATGCCGAAGGGACACATAAGCGGTGGAGGTTGGTATCAACTTGTGGCCATGAGAGAGGGGTATCTGGTTTTGTTGGGAAGTCGCGAGCTCGATGTGATGTAAGCGTCCCAACCTCTTATCTGAATTGTATAGTAGATGGAGGTGGAGGCGTGGATAGGAGCGCGATGCCGATAGTGATGAGAGCAATCATGAGTCACAGGATGCTGCATGCGTTGCCCGAGGACCTGTCAATGTATTGTCAGCTACAATCTCGGAAATGAACACACAATGAATGTATCTATCATAGGTGACGTGTAAGCTTCAAGCCACTTATGCATGTCTCTTTCGTCATAATGATTAGCGCACAAGGCGTGATGTACCTCTCTCCGCATGGACCATGCTGCACGACGACGGGACGATCGCCGTTAAGCTCGTGTCACGCAAGGCGTATGCGTATGCTAGGTTCATGGGACCGGGATCTGATGTGATGTAGATGCAAGATATGGGCAATAAAGAAAATGTGTGCTCACCATCGTTGTCCGCGGATCCTTCCAATCCAA